AATTTTAAAATATCATGTTCAGAATTTGCTCTCTGCTTTGTATAGCCCTCATAAAAGAAGCTGCAGGATATTCTCAGATTCTCCATTTTCTTTTTCTTGAGATGAAGGGAAATTGAAAGCAAGTTTCCCAATTCAGTTCTGATGGGCTTTGAAATTTCTGTGTATTTCAGTTGTTGAAAATTAGAGATCCTTCTGCCTCAGAAGCTTAAAAACAGATTATAGCTTAAAAACATGAGTCATCCTCTTTTATTGGAAAAAAGTACATTCTTCTAAAATAGCGGATAACATTAACTATTCAAAGTATTTAACTATCAGTCCATGGAGGTTGTTTTGTCTTTTCCAGTAAGAAATTTTTTTTTTATTTTTGAATTTGAAGTGCTTCAGTAGTTAAGCTAAAACAAGCTTTTTGTGTCTTACTAGTTTCTACATTTAAAAATGTGTGTATTTAATTTTGTTTGTAAAATTGCTAGCATTAATATTTAATTCTGTAAATTTTTATTTACATCTTCAATGAGTAGGATTTGTAGGAATGCTTACATATTTTATTCTTGATTTTGAAATTAATGTTTTGTTCTGTATTGGTTACCTTTGCTAGAGCCCTACACTCTTAATTATTTGAAGAAATTTTGACTTACTGATTTTTCTCTTTTGATGACTAATTTCTATGTTTTCCATTTTAACTTTTAACTTTACTAATTTTGACCATTTACTTATCTGTATTTAATTTGCTTACTATGTTTCATTTTTGAAAGCAAAAGCTTAGAAAACTAATGTTTCTTACTTCTCTAATAATAGAGTGCATGCTGAATAAGGATGCTAGCCCTCAATGTCTTCTACCATTTAGATAGCTAGAAACTATTTAGAAATTCACTAGTAATACTTTTGATAACCCAGTTTTGGATCACAGTGATGCATCTCTGTGTGACTGAGAACAGTGCTTTTGCTTCATAGTATTGTGCAAAATTTTTTATTTCCTTAATGTATTATTAAATTATCCACTAATTCCTAAAATACTGTTACTAAAGTATACAAATATTGTGCACATTATTCAGTTTCTTCCACCTTGTGTGTCTTATTTTAAAATCATTTATTATATGCACCCTCATTTATGATTGTACTATTTCTTTCATGCCTTTATCATTTGATCAGTATGTTTTCTTTATATGTAGTAATGCTCTTTGTTCTAAGATCTTTCTATCATGAATAGAAACATATCGTTTTACTTTTAATATTTTGTGTTATATATTTCCCAACATTATACATTCAGGCTGTGTCTATATAAACATGTATGTTATGTATATCAACTTTTTAAAAATTTTAAGTGTGAAATTCAGTGACCATTATTACATTCACAATGTTGTGCAACCACTATTTGTGCCTCGCTACAAAATGTTTATGTAATTCTAAGTATAAACTTAGACATTAAGCAGTTTCTCCCTATTCTCCATCTCTCTTCAGTTCTTGGGATCAACATAGCCATGCTATGTTTATCCTGAATAATTCATGAAAGGAGAAAAAATGTAAGCATTTGTACCTGGCTGATTTGTTACTTATCAGAATGTTTTGAAAATATATTCACATACACCATACATATGTGTATGTATTTGTGTACAAATATGTAGAGTTTCTCTTTTATGTAGTAATGTTCTTTGTTTTAAGCTCTATTTTTCTATCTTGAATAGATTCATGTCTTTTTACTGTTAATTTTTTATGTTATGTATTTCCCAGCCTTTTACATTCAAATACTATTTTTATATTTTATTTTTTTATTGTGGTTGTGCCCAATTGTTTATAAAACCTTTATATACAAATGTTTTGAAAACCTATAAATCATGTGAAAACTTATAAATCATTCATATGTATATATATACACACCATATATAGAGAAGTATATCAATGCTCTGAACACATATAAGCATGTAAGATTAATTTAATTTCTTCTGTCACATTTTTCTCATATGCTTACTTTTTCTGATGTTTACATTTGTAGATATGAATTTGCATCTTGTACAATTTCTCTTATATCTTATCTTTGTTTTTGTTAAAGTATAGTCCTCAAAGGAGAAATTCTTTTACCTGTGTGACAATGTATGCTTTGCCTATGTTTTAATCTTTACTTTTACTCTGTATTACTTTCGAGGTTAATGATAGCTGTTTCAGCATTTTAAAATATTATTTGATGCTGTAGTTTCTGATGAAATGACACCCACCATTCTTGCCATTGTTCCTTTTTATGAAATACAACTTTTTTTTGACAGCCTTTAAATTTTCTCTTTTTCTTTGGTTTTATCAGTTTTACTCTAATAGGCACAGCTGTGGTTTTCTTTACACTTATTTTATTTATATTCATATTTATCTGAGCTTTCTTAATCTGAGATTTCTCTTTCAATGTTTGTAGAGAATGGTTGGCACTCAATCAATTTCTTCTTCCAAGTTACACTACTTCTGAAACTGTAGTTAAACATAGTGTCTACACACAGTTCCTTGAGAAGTTTTAGTATTTTTTTCTATTTAAGTTGAATAGTATCTATTGCTGTCTTTTTAAACTTAATTTACATACAATTTATATTTATCTACTTTTTTCCCATCAAAATATGTACATTTTCTTATTTTGAGACAATCTTTAAAAATATGTTAACATTTCATGGAACTTTTGTAATAACTTCAACATCTTGGTTTAGTTTTGTTTCTGTTGATCATTACAACAGTTTCTTCAAAAAATACCTAAACTTTTAGACTCTTTCCAAACATAGTAATTATTATGCTGAATATTCTAAACAGAGATCAAAATAAGCATGTCTTATTGCAAAGTAGAGAAAAAGATGTATTGTAGCTAAATAAGTTTTTATACTCAATCCCTTTCCCTTCATTGAACATTCATATTGAATTTAGTAATGATTGATACACTGTGCTAACCTGAGAGGTCTAGAAGCTTACCTAAATAACTCAGCAGCTCTACCTCCTGGGGTGTAGAGGGCATGCCTTTATTTCTAAAATATTGTTGATTGTATGAACTTGAGAAGTTCAGAAGTTTACCTAAGTGACTCAACAGGGAGCCAAGATCCTCACTCTGTAAATATCCTGAGCCTGTGCAACAGAGATGTTGTGAATGTTACACCCACCCAAGGGCAGGAAATCTGCATATCATAAAAGGGAACTGAGAAAGGCCTTATTGCTGAGTCTTCGAAGAAGCTCCTGTCTTTGTTTTTAGCTTGGAGTCATCTCCTGGCTTGTGGTGCAGGCTGGTGGATCAGCTTCCACTTGGAACTCTTCAGCTCTCTGTCACAGATCAGTTGGCCTCCTGGAACACTGCCGTGAGCACCAGGCCTTGGCTGGACCCTTCAGTCTCCAGTGTGTGAACACCGTCTGCACACTCCCTCATCTGAGTTGGCATTACTAAGCCAGTTTTGTAACTTCTTACACATTGGTATATGTTTGATTTTACCTGTTTATCTAATAAACTTTGATGCATATATGACCATCAAGGCCTATAAATCATTCCATAAGAAAGCAATCTATTTAACTCTGTCCTCCAAAAAGAATATTCCAAGTTTATTTCATCACAGAAATTGAGGATGAAACTGCCTAAAATTTCTTTGTTGAAAGCTAGATTGACTGAACAATGGGTAAAAACTACACAGACATCTCTTTTTAATGCTTAGTACTTGACTATTTTGAAAAAAAAGACTTCCTCAGTGTAGATTAAGTACTTCATTAAAACCAGTCTGAATAGGTAAGGAAGATAAAATGCATGAAATTAATAAAAAATTATAAATTATATGCCTATTATTTTGATAAACTAGTCATTTTATAACATTTTAAGAAGCCACAGTCTTTACTTTTACTACCAAAAGATTATGCTGCTAGTTTTGTTTAGTTGTAATGAATTTATACATAGAAATATTTCTGTAAACATCTTCTGTAGTTTAAGAATATGCCCTTGTACAGACTAACAGTAATTAATTCGCATGTAGCTTTTATAAAGAATCAAAATGTAACTATGAAAATCTGATTACTCTGTTCTAAGAAATAGTCAATTAAATCAAAATATGGCAGTAATGAAAACCATTTTAGAGGAAGAAATTCAGAGAAACCTGGTAATGTTTTAAATTATACTAACATCTTCTATCAAAAAATAAAAAGATTGTTCTAATTTCTCTGAGTCTCTTAAGAGATTTTTTTCTCCACTTGACAGCAAAAGTACCTGATAAAGTCAGACTAGAAACTTCAAAACAAGCATTCTACAGAAAAAAGTAAAATATATATCTGATTACAATTTAAACAATACATTTCTGATAGGCATGGGAGCACATGCTTGTCATCCCAGCATTTGAGATACTGAGGCAGAAAAGTCTCATGAGCTTGAGGTCAGCCCAGGGTACATAGTGAATGTAAGGCCAGCCTGAACTATACAGTGAGAACTTGTTTTTTAAACAATGCATAAATATTCTGTTTTCAAGTATTTCAAGAAGTTAACAAAATACCAAAGATCTAAAAGAGTCAGAATTAAAAGTAGTACAAAAGTGATGGAGGGTCATCTCCCTTTAGTTTGATGGAAAACAACTGCCTTTAGGTCCAATTCAATGCACTGCCACTTTGAAACTCTGACCTGGATTTATGGAAGAGCCAGAAGTACATCTCTTCACCCAATAGATAAAAAGCCTTACTTTCAGGCTGATGAGATTTCAAAGCTTAAAACAGTGGATTTCCTGAATTATTTCTAGAGTTTTGGTAATTTAAAAAGACAGTAAAAATAATGAAATTCTTAAAAAATAGCATATAAAAATGCTTTTCATTATCACTTTGCTGTATAACATGTTAGTAAATACATTATAAATACACAGTGTATTATGTCTTGCTTTGATTCTCTTCAACTTAGGTCCTTGACACTGAGTCACATCCACAACTTTTTTTTGTTTTGTTTGTAGACAGTATCCCTAACTCAGGAAGTCCTTGCTGGGCTTGGTCTTTCCATCTTCCTGGTTCCAACTGTCAGAGTGCTGGTTCCAATGGTCAGTGTGCTGGTTCCAACTGTCAGTGTGCCACAATGCCTGTCAGTATGTGATTTTTTCCTATTCTGGTAACTTGAATATTCCTCTATACTTCGAAGACTCAGTTTCTTAGCTATCTGCCAATGTCCATGGGGGTAATGAAGAAATTTATAATAGAGAAACTTTTTCCAACTCATTTTTCTTCTAACTTGGTTTTTGCTGATTGATTATGTGATTTTTTTCATGTATTATTCACAGGATCTGGTTGAGAGTGGTTCCTCTATCCAGCTAGGACCTCCACAAAAGGTAGGTGGTGTCTTTTCTCTTACTCTTAGGTGAAGGAAGCTCCACTTGGCAGCTGCCTGAAAGAGAAGAATATTGAAATTCATGACCAGCGTGAGTCAAAGCTTCATTTGGATTAGAAATAAATGTTCAAAATAATTTTTTCTGATTTTTCCCAGTATGCTGCTTATACTGCCAGGATGCAGTACATTAAGAAGATCAGATGTATGAGAAAGATATCATATAGAGAAACTGTTGAGAAAGTCTGCTCTTTAGGTACATCAGTGTTCACTGTGATCCTATCATCATGTCTCAAACCCCTGCCAAGTTTAAAAACGTCTTACTGACCAACACATTTATTTAAATTATTCCTGCTACACATTTTCATTACATAATATTTATTTAAAATCATTCATGCACATTAAAGCAAAAATATCACCAATTCGTTGTTAAACCTATAAAGTAGCTAGGCAAGTGTTTTTAACTGAATTACAGCCCCAGTCTCTTCAACAAAGTATTATTGATTTTCATTTGTGTAGTTTATTATGTAGTCAAATGTGAATTAGAACTGGTTAAATAATATTTTCTAAGGCATTTTTATTATTTCATTAATCATTTTATAATTGCTAGCATTTTCATTAACATGTATTAAAGTAAAGGCAAGTTAAATTTCATTTAAATAATTTTCTTTCTATGTAACTATTTTCTGAAGTCACACAATTTTGTTATTAATACTTGGTTAATTCAGATTTGGCTAGGTCAATTATACATACTTTTCACATTGACCCATGTATATAGTTTAACCAAAATATTTTCAAAACTGTCTTTACAGTCCTTTTCAAACATGTCTCATTTTGAGTATTTATTTGTTCCATTAAAACTGAATATCAATAAAATAAAATATTAACAATTATAAATCTTCTTATACATTAGATTACTTCAAATACTAAATATTGAAGTTCAAAAGTAACTGTATACTACTTGAAATCTTATTGCTAATTTTATTCTTTTATTCTTTATAGAAATAATTTCAGTGTCACTATTAACATATTTTAAGATCATTTTTATCTTTACATTTATTAATTTAGAGAGTATACTAATTTTCTATTGTCTTCTACCAGAATTTTTATTTGTGTTTCCTTTATAAAACTAGTAAAGCTTTTCTTTATGCTGGAACTTTGAAGTATATTTAAAGTAGAAAATTATAGTAAGTTGACTTCACCGTCCATGAAGGAACTTCCATTTGATTTACTTAGATTCTATGGTTGATAAAGTCAATCAAACTATTACTAGATTTACTAAACTCTGTCTTAATTGTCTGAGGAAATTTAATTCAAAGCAGGTGAAAAACGATTTGTTCTATTTTAAAAACTGTTTATATTCTTGATTTTTAATTTCAAGACACATACATTTAGTTTAATATCATCCTATAAACACATGAAGTTTAAAAACAAATTTTCTAGATAGATAAATCTGACACATTCCTTATCTGTGAAAATATTAGTATTATCCTGGTATGATTAGCTGAATAACCAACAGTTCAGTTGATGAACTCTTTCTATAAATTTATTCAGTTTTTAAAATTTCATGATGCTATAATTATCAAAAATATTCACATATTTTAACTATTAATGAAAATATTCACAAGTTAGTGTTGGTAAGAGAAAAACAAAAAATAGAGTATATTTTAAAGGTAATACACAATTATATTTTAATTATAATTACAGTTTTTAGTTTTCTTTTTTCTCTCAAATTATAGGGTCTTTTGGAAGCCAAAAGTCTGCAAGTTGCTTTTAATACATTGAATAATGGCAAACTGAAGAATAGTCACAGAGTAAAATTTATCAGGAACCAGCTCATTAAGCATAGAAGCCTTTGAGTTGCTGGGACTGGGAAATTTTTAATGCCTGAACATAGCAGTGTTAAATGAGGCCAAACAGGAAAAGAAATACTTTCAGGAAATTACTCTGTGCACAAAATGGGGTAAAATTACCCCTACTGTGCCTATAGGGTCCAGAGAATGCTGAGGGAATCAAAAACAATGCATCTGACATTGAGAAGATAGATGGATTAAGAGAAAAGTATGTAAATATTAAAATTGATCTTTATGATTCAAAAAAAAAAAAAAAAACTGAAGGGAAACCAAGCCTTCTATACAATCCATTTGACAGAACCTCAGTGTGCAAAGACTCCTGTATAATGTTTTAGCAATTTCATGGCTTTAAAGACTTTCTGCTTTTTGTGAAGAGGTCTTAACAGTGAGAACTTGGATCTCAGCACAAGATACAATGGGATATGTAGAAGTGGAACGCAAATGCTGTATGATACACAATAAAAACACACTTTAACCAGTGACTTACTTGAGTTTTTCAAAGTTTCCCATGCATTACCTTTGCCTAAGAAAATTTCAAAAATAGCAATAATCTAGAAGGGTGTAGTACAAAATCATAATATCTAGGTGATTCTCACTAAGTCATAATGCTTGCTGCACATTTAAATAGATAAAATGTATTCATTCTTAAAAACTGGATTAGGCATATAAGGCAATACTATAGTCGAGTATATATATATATATGTATATATATATATATATATATATGTATACATATATTCAGTCTTACACTTGTAATTTAACAAAATGAACTTTGTTCTTTCTTCATCCAGGGTATCACATAGCATGATAAGTTTGGAGTGTCACAACATGAGGGAAGTAGAAAGAAGATGTTGCAGAGCTTGAGGCTATGTTGGGTGAGTTGGGGTGACTGTGAAAGAGGAGGGTATATTCTGGGTTGAGGGCTTCCAGAAAACAAAAAGTAACTTGATGACTCATCCTCACCTTTCATTCAGATGAGTGAAGAAATGAACAATAGTAAAGTTGCCACTCTTAAGTAAATATAGGACACAGGAAATGATTACTTGAATTATTTTTATTCTGGCATGCAAAGTACACTGATATGTTTTTAAAGGTGGCCAAACATTTTAGATGTTTTGTGAAAATTTTGTTTTGCTAAATTCAGCAGCCTAACTCTGAGCTGTAGATTATAGACCCTTTTACTTTCATGTTTGTTTAAAAAATAAGTTAGATAGAAGGAAAAGTAAAGGACAAAAAAAAAAAAAAAAAAAAAAAAAAGAAAAGTAAAGGACAGGAGGAATAGGGGACAAAAATAAAGATGTATTTAAGATGTGTTATGTAAATGTACCAACCCCATACAAGGAACATAAACATTATGTACAGCAAATATGTGCAAATAAAAAGAGTAAATAATAAAATTGGGTAATTTTATTTTAGAATATGTTCAGTCCTGCACAAGCAAATTTGATATTTTCTATATAATTCAGGCTTAAAAACTATTTTCCTGGCTGTCTGTTCACACAGATTGAGATGGATAGACTATTTATGAGTTTCAAAGATGAAACTTTGATGACTAAGGAAACAAAGTCCCTCACAGAACGTTTGTTATAGTTTGTGTTTGGATGGATGTTCCCCTAGAACCTCATATGGTCTGGGGCGCAGGCCTTTCAGAGGCAGCTGAGTCTAGAGTTGGTGATCGGTTCATTGTCTAGTGCTGGGATTGGCAGTGTCAGTGCTGCACCCACCGGGGCTGGCTAATCAGCATACAATTAGGGAAGGAAAAATGGGTGCTCCTCCTTTTTGCCCTTTTCCTTCTTGCTGCTTGTCACTGCCATGAATTGTTACCCCTTAACCACACCACCCTGCTTTGGAACCAGTTAAGTAATGACTGAAACCTCAAAAATCTGTGAGATAACCTTTTTTTCCCTAAGTTTGAGAGTCGCATATTTTTTCCCCAGTAACAAGAGAAAAGTAACCAAGACAATGCTTAAGCCTCTCTTGCATCCTCAGAAAATTGTTTGTTTTATTTTCACTGAGTATAATGACATAATTTTCTTCAAGGGTCCAATAACATTTTTATTGTTGTGTTTGCGAGTCTGTAGTTGTGTGCATTTGTTAAGGAAGGATGTAAGGTACATATCTGGGCATTCTGACAGAGCTACATCCTCTACCTTTTTAGTTTTATTATTTTGAGACTGGGTCTCATTAAATCACTAATTTGCACAGACCAGGTTCGAACTTACAATTATCCTTCTTCTTCCTCATGTAGGGTAACCATTACAGGAACGTGTCCACTCATCTAACTAAAAAGTATTGTATGTTATAATTTCTGGAGTGTTCTAGTCATCTGGTCACAAATAGGATTGAATTTCCAACATATGTTTCAAAGGGTAAAAGAAAATATAAATGTAAAATTGAATCCATATTTGATTTTATAAAAAGAAACATTAAAAATATAGGAAGAAAAAAAATTCATTGGTAGAAATCAGCTGAACCTAAGCAAGGCATTTGATGATAGTGACTAAAATCTTTTTCAATGTAGAATTTAGGGACATTCCTCTGCAAATTTAAGATGTCTTAAATATCATAAGGAAATACTAGACCCCCAAAGAGCAACATATAAATAAAAAGTAGTAGGAGAAAAGTATATACCTATGTCATAGGAAAAGAAACACTAATATTTCAAAATAAAGAAAGAAAATAGTAAACTATGATGGTTTTTCATAAGTTTTAGAATAGAGAATCTGTGCGAGGTGAAAAACAGTTCTGGACAATAAAAACCCCAAGAAGTTTTACTATAACATCACATAATTACTTCTGGAAAGACAGACAATCACAGAATCACACCACTTCTGGAGAAAAAGTTAAGCCCTCAAAAAAAAAAACAAATTAGTATCAGAGTGCATTTGCAGATTAAAAGCAAGAAAATCAAAGTTAGATTAGCATTTGGAGTGTCATTCCATCGGTGATGGTTGCATTAATTTTAGAGAGGTAAGAGAGGGGGCAGTTTTAATGGAGAGGTCAGTTGGAAAATACTGAACCTGAATGATGGGGAGCTGCACTGTAAGCCAAGAGAAGTAGGCACGGGAAGGACTTGACTAATGGGGAAAATTACTGCAATAAAATCCTGGAAGTTTGTGGGTTATTGGGAAGAAGGAGAGAGATGACCTTGGATTCTGATTTGTCTGTCAGGGAAGGAAGGTCATTAGCTAAGACTGGAAATACTGAAGGTGAGAAAGACAATGATGTGAATAAACCAAATCAGATTTCTTTAAAAGACAGCTTAGGGGAAATGCATTTCAGAATCACCAAGTACATGAAATTCTAGGTGCAGAAATGGTAAAACACGGAGGGAAAGAGAATGATATTCACCAATACTGGAAGATCACACTGCAGAGAGAAACAAACCAATGACAAATCAGGGATGGTCCTGACGGTGAGAACACAAGCACCAATTTAATGTAATGTGGACCTTGCTGAGGAGAGATGAGGAGCACAATGCAGTGAGCAAAGGGAAGGGAAAAGGCAGCTATTGCAGGAATCCAGGGCCTGCTGAAAGACCTCGGATGTAGCTCCACAAAGATCATTTTCTCAAACTACCTGGAGTATATTAATGGAATGGAAAAATGAAAACCGGATTGCAGTGGGTGGAATGAGCAAATGTAATGTGCAGAAAGCAAGACAAGAAATATTCTCTCTAGTTAAAAAAAATATATATGTCACACAAAGAAGCTTATTCTCTGGAAAAGAAAACCAGGGTGAAATAGTGAACCAAACTTATGTTTGAGGAAGAACATGCCTTTGGCTTTTTAGTGCAAGAGAGGTTTTATTATTTTTATTCATCAGTGATGACACTATGATTAATACCTGGTAAAACAGACATCACACTGCATCTGATATTGTTGTGGCCTATTTTTCCTTAAAATTCATGACTATCTCCCTGTATAGTTAAAAGTAGAGATGTGTGAGTTACATCTGTTGATGGATATGTAGTGATTGGACAGAATCCAGTGTGTCTTATTGTTGTAGATGTTGTGTTATCAGATGTTGCTGTAGATCTTCTCCCCTGGGGTAGATTTTATGGACATGAATTATCTAACATCTTCCTTATTATCAGTATTGTTGCCATTCTCAAAAATGAGTTGGAGAAGTGGTCTTCAAATTTCATCTTTTAGTATGGAGATGTTAATTTATTATCTTTTCAAAAGATTACACCATCCTCCTCTTTCTCTAATGTCTGGATGTCTAGAATCTTTAGAATTAAGCATTGGTGGAAAATAAAACTCATCTCACTGCTTGGGTGAGAGATGGTGTCCTGGCTGCTTCGTTTGGAAAAGAGGTGAGAGTCTAAATATTCTCTGTGCTTTATTTCCAACCAAGTCTTCTACTTTCATTATTATTTTTTGCCATCCAAGTGGTTGAAAATTCTATGTCATACAGTAAAAATCTATTTGATTTATGTCGATTTCCTTTGCATTGACATATTTATTTGCTTGCATATAGATTTCAGCATCTCCTACTCTACCAGTGTTAGCATTTATTTATGTGTTTCACTTTCAAAATTGCGTTGACTTTTCCTGGCTTCAGTGTTCTCTTATGTGCTTTCTGCTTACATATTTATATATTTATTCAGCTTTATACATCATTATGACATTGTGTGAACTTTAGAGAAAACAGATAAATTATTTCAGTCCTTCTTGTTGAAGCAGAAATCTCAGGTTCCTCAAATTTAAGATGGCAAGTGTTTATTAATATCGGGTGAGATATGTATGCAAACTTTTAAATTCTTTTTTGTCATCTAATGGGAAAATATTCTGTTTAAAATGTTGATAGAAGCAGTGTCAAGTAAATTAGTCTAAAATTACTATTCATGTCAAGTAGCATAATCCTTTATTTTATTTATATTCATTGTATATATACATATTGTGGTTGAATACATGCTGAAAATGATAAATACTGATCATTGAAATATTTATACTAGAAATTAAAAATTATTAGATAGTAATGCCATGAAAGTATAATTACACAGGTATAATACTTTTAAATGTTCCTTTGTATATATACAAAAATAAAAATTGTTTTAATTTATGTAACAAATCTATACATACATGCTTACTTTGGCCAAACACAATAACCTAATGTATTTACTGTGATTTCTCTTTTGACATAAAGATATAATAATTTAATTGATTAAATATGAATGAAAGAGTAGAAATGACATTTTTCCAACGAAACATGCCTCAAAAAGTTAATATTTTAAAACTCGGAGAAGTGGCTCCTGCCTTCAGTATTACTACCTGAGGCTTGGGAGGCTGAGGCAGAAGAACTAACAGCATGGACAATCTATGGTGATCCCATCTCAGAAACAAATTTTTTAAAAAAGCAGCACCTTTTCTCACAGATACACCCAAATACTTGTGATAGCTTCCATGATGTTAAGACGTTTTGCCCGGGGTTTGGTGTTTCCACATTTTGCCTTATCAGGTCTCACCCCACGCAGACCAATTTCCTGAAAGAAACACATCACAGAATTTTGAAAGAGTGGTGTCTGCTAGATGGCGGATCAGGAGAGCCTGAGCTTCTGTACCCTCCAAGGTACAGCTCAGAAGCTATCCATGAACATAGGAACTAGAGGAGAGATTGTAGGTTAGTGAAAGAGCCACACCAGGATATTAGAAGAAGTATCTTAAGAATAACTTCGACAGAAGAAAAGAAAGAGCAACTTTAAGTTCCCTGTATGTTTCTATGACCCATGTTCCAGAGAAGACGCTCCTGGCTTCAGTCACCCCTGGGCCTCGCAAGGGACAGTGGACCCATCATGAGCTTCCCCAGATGCCAGGGCCAGGCTGGATAAACAGATTTAGTTTCGTTTCCCTTTGGTAGAGCGGTGGAACTAGCATGGTATAATCAGTGCAGAATTAGGGAGACAGAGGGTGAGGTAGAGAGAAAAAGAGAAAGTAAGGATACATAAATTAATTGCTTTAATAACAATCTGGTAACTCTTTTGAGAGTGAGTTACTACAATTTCAAGTTTGGGGAGTAAAAATGCATAAAATGCATTTTTAAAAATTTATGTTTTTTAAAAAAAATTTATGTTTTACTTTGTCAAACAT